CAATTTCTCTCACTGTCTCTCTCACACACACAAGCACACACACACACACACACACACACACACACACACACACACACACACACACACACTCACTCACTCACTCACATACACAGCAACAACGACAACACAAAACACCAACAACAACAGCAGTAGCAGCAGAAACAACAAAAAATAACAGCAACAACAACAAGAACAAAAGTTACACCCCGCCCCCCACACACACACATACAGACCCAACAAAACTCTACAATGGTAGACACACCGTGTTGGGATTTGAGACATTTCAGTCATTTACCTCTGTCTTTGTTTTCGTTTCCCTGTTTCAAAAGTCACAGCCACTCGCAATAAAGGGAAAACAAGAAAGCATTCAGCACACAACATGGCACCACATGTGACTTTATAAATCGTGTTCGTAGACTTGGTTCATTTATTATCTGACTCACAAATAGACACTCTTGAGTTATTATCATAATATAGATAACTACATATATATATAACATTATTTTGTTCCCCTATTTCAGAAACCACAACACTCGTAATAAAGGAACAACAAGAAAGCATTAAGAACACAACAGGAAATGACGTCATTTTCAAACGCCAAAGTTTTGGCTACTGCCCTCGAAAAGTTTGATCTTATCGAGACGACTCTCTTTGACGGTATTCGATTCGCCCCTTATGACGGCCTCATGAAGGATGTGCCCACAACGATGGATCACATTTCCAACGCTAAGCTAAAGGAAAACGATGTCATCGCTTGCGGATATATGAGGTCTGGTCACCACTGGATGTTCGAGATTTTGAACATGATTCAGACTCAAAAGGTTGAATTCTCGAAAGACAATGCAGAGGACCATTTTCTGGAATTTATGAACGATAAAGTTGACGAAACATTGGAAGCTATTTCGGAACCGAGAGTCATAACAAGCCATCTTCAACCCAAATTCCTCCCGAAAGACGTTGTGAGAAAACCAGTGAAGGTTGTGTTTTACATGAGGAATCCCAAAGACGTGCTCACCTCCTGGTATAACCTGGTTGCCAAGTACAAGCCGGAGTTATTGAACTATCAGTGGACTTGGGAAGAGTTTCTAGAGCTGCAGGTAGAGATTCTGTTTCTTATACAGTTTGTTTTAATAAAACATTAAATTAAAAAAACAAAACAAGACAATTTTACTGATCCCAGAAAGGTAACTTGGTTTACAATGGCAAACATACCTACCTACCTACTTACCTACCTACCTACCTGCCTGCCTG